ATGAAACATCTGAAGCTCACGCTCTAAGCGATCAAGGTCATCAACCATAGCCGTCGCCAGATCCGGACACCCTATGTCCCTAATCAAATTTATCTTGGAATCGAGATAGGGCTTAAATTAGCGAAGAGAAAGTCCGTCATGGAGGAGTTTGCCAATTATAGCAGTCAGGGAGGAGAAATAAGAGCGGACGATCTATTCGGCCCCGCTGCACCTGGACCTCGAGCTCAGCAACCATCCGAGTACTACGCCATGTCTGTAAACGAGCGTCCAACTCGGCAGCAATAAATGAAGAGGCACCGGCATCCCGGAGCTCATGAAGCATCTGAAACTCATGCTCTAAGCGATCAAGGTCATCAACCATAGCCGTCGCTAGGTCCGGGTATCCCATGTCCCTTATTAAATTTACCTTGGAATCAAGGTAGGGTTTAAACTGGCGAAGAGAAAGTCCGTCGTGGAGGAGCTTGCCAATTATAGCATTCAGGGAGGAGAAATAAGAGCGGACTTCTACGCTGATGAAGATCTTCTCAGGGTCATTGCCCGATAACAGCTCTTTAACGAGGACATGAAGCTGAGAAGGAAGCCCTACACAAAGAAGAGGAATTCGTCAAAAGCTTCAACGAGGAAAGGAATGGCATTGCTCAGTTAATTAAATTATACCTCCTTCCCCTCGAGTCACTGGGGGTGATGGAGATGTAACGACTGTAGCAGCATCGACTGGTGGAGTTGGTCGCACAGCCGGCTCAACAGGGTCAGCCTCAGCGAAAGCTCCTGTTAGACACAAAACAGAAACATCATTTTATAGTTGCATTAGTCAAGGAATTGGCTAGTCCTATAGTTAGCTTGAGAAGAGGCACGCACCTTCAAAATAACCGTTCCCGGGAGTCTGAGGGAGTACAGACTCAGGAAACATATCCTGAGGCGGCTGGCCATCGATCTGAGGAGAGTCATACATGAAGCTGAACATAGAAGTGTCCATAGGCAGGCCCTCCCCATCGAAGTCATCAATCGAAAAATCTGACATAAAAAGATATAAGTATGAAGGAGGAGGAAGGAAACTATGGCCAATAGAGACAAGTTACCTCTTGAAGATGTACCTGGAATCACCGAACTGGGTCCTTCATTGACAGACTCCCCAACATGGGCGGTCTCTGCAGGCTTTTCTACCTGGGGCGGTGAGTCAGGCTCACCAGGAGATGCACAATCATCAGGACTCATCTCGCCTTCCTCACGATATCCTGCATAGGATGGGAAAGCATGAGCCAGAAGTTCTAAACGATCAAGAAAATGATCTATAGAATAGACGTTACCTCCGTCACTAACAGGATCCTCACCAGCCAAGTCCATCTCTGATGCTCGTGAAATTGCAGGCGGCTTGTGGGCTAATCTTTTCCGCCTATCAGCACGGACAGCAATCGAAGGTCTGGCCCGGGTAAAAGGACGGAATTCGTCGTCACTGTTGATCGCTGTCCCTGAAACAACGAATAGTGGTCAGAAATAGTAATTTGAAAATGCAAGAAAAAAGAAAGATAGGTGACTAACCTTGCTCCAAATCTGCCTCGTAGTCTTCAGGGTCTCCGCCTGAGGCCTCTCCAGCAGAACTAAAGGCCCTGTGACCTTCTGCATCAAGTCGGCGGGTCTTGCCCTGAGCCCTCTGTGATCGAGCACCGTCCTGGATAACACGAGAATCAAGTTGAGAGGCTTCTTCGGTCACCAACTCTTCGATAGGCTTCACACGGACAGTCTTATTAGCTGCTAGCAACCACTTGCAGCTCAGGAAAGTGAGGTTCAACTGTCGCTCAGTACCTGGGAGACTGAACCTAGCTCCAGTGCAACCAGTCACGGTCCACAACCATGCACGAAGACCGTCCACCAGACCTCCATGAGCCCGAAGCTGCTGGCGCGGGTTCCCAACATAAAGTTGGTCATAACCGAATTTGCGGGCGAATCGGCAAGGTAGATACGGCTCTATGAAGCACTGATTCCCCACCCGGAAAGTCAGGTAACCCGGCCTAATGTTCACTAGCCAATTAAAGCAGCCCATATCCAGATAAGTCCTATACTCCCTCGGCTTCTCCTCATCAATCAAACACTCGCCGTACCGGCTGGAGAACTGTGGAAAGCAAGTGGAGAATGCCCAGCACTTGTGGACTTGTAGCTGACGCCTGATATCGGGGAATCCTCGGCCCTCCCATTCACCATTCTCAAGCAACTGTAGAAAGGGGACAGACTGATCTATGGCATTCGGTATTGACATCACGTCGGAACGATGAAGAACGAACCAAGCCATCAAATAAATATACGGGAGCTCTACCTTAATGGTAGGAATCTGAGTCGGTTTATCATCATCTCTCCGTGTAAAAGCACCAGAAATCTGCCGAAGCCCTCGATGAATGTTAGCAACCATCACCGGAAGAAGCGAAAGTTCCTTCTTGTAGGCAAGCTGAACTGCAGGATAGAGCACTTCCAGTGGCAGAGCGTCACCAGACTGATACGGGACCACACATTTCTTCAACCAGATGGCGAGATAACCGGCAAGGAGAGTCATCGGACGAATCGGTGTGGTCGCATGATATAAGAACGATCTGAATTTAGTCCCTGCAGGAAAGCCGCTCTCGGAACTGCTAATGGTATAGGATTGGGCGTTAGTCTTATTCAGCAGCTCATTAACCTCTGAAGGAGTCAGCGGTGCCAGTTCACAAATAGATTGGCCAGAATGGCTCTCCAGATTCCTGAACAAGTATGATGCGAACTGCTTCAGGCTCACATTTGCTTTGGTCCTCTTCGCTAGGGGCTTAGACTGCGCCAAAGCAATGTGGTAGTGACAAGTGAGATCCCATAAGGTCTCGTAGCGGTCGGGCACGCGATCCTTCAGCTGACTCAACTCATGGTTGGAGGGAAAGTACTCCTGGTATAACATCTGTCCCATGGGCAAACCAGAAATCTTGTGCATCTCATGTAGAGCCAAGCCCAACTCTCCGTGCCTGGTCAGAAAAGTGTTGGAATCTGGATTGTAAAGCTCGCATAGGGCAAAGAAATGCTTCGCGCTTGTAGGCAAGCCATGCATAGTGGCCCGAATGGCTGCATAAAGACCGCAAGCATGTAACTCCTCGCTCCATCGGCTCAAGACATACTTCGTCATACGAGCCCACCAAAACCTGTCCAAAGAATGGACCCAACCATAGAATCTGTGGCGCGGTGCAGGCATCTCCCGTCCTAAGATAGCGAGGCGATTCCTCAAAGTAGAAGCAGTGGTGAGGAACTCATTGCGAGGCGGAGTATCTAGCCCCAGTACTCCAGGATGTAGTCCAACAATGTGATCTCGACTCGAACCAGGAACTGCCTGATGAGTAATATAGCCGCAGTGAACGCTCTCATGTTCCTTTGTCAAACTCCACGACATCTCCCGCTTCACAGCTTGGCGCCTGAGCTCAGTCAAAGAACGGTGTCGAGGAATCTTCGGCAAATACATATAACGACTGCCAGTCTGGTAAAGCCACTGCTCAGCCTCAATAAATACTGCATCGGGATCCCTGGTAGAGTCTCCAAACAAGAAGTCAGTCTTCCTAAGAGACTGAACGGAACTGGCATCCTGCACGAGAGGCGCATCTGTGATCAGCTGGCGAAGAGCTTGATGGCCACCTTCCCTCACCACTTGGACAACTTCCAACGACGTGCCCGGAGCAAACTGGGAGGTGAGCGGAATGGGCGAAAAGTCATCAGATGTTGAATAATACTCATCACGACGTCCATTCACCGCA